GGATGGGTAGATTAAAAGATCATTCAGAATCAGTGTGTGATTACGGGAGTGAACGCGCAGAAGGACTTTGTGGAAAGCAATGTGCCGTTCAGCCCTTTGGAGGATATACTGTAGATACATGCCAACAAAGGCACAGCCGAAATCACTTGCACAGACCACTTTGATTAATATTAATATGAAAAGCACACTCTGCATCTGTGTCTCTGTCTGTCTCACTCCCTTTTGCTTTTCTGTAGCTCTCTCTGACTGTCTGCCTTCTACTTCTTCTGTTCTTGTCTTTGCCTCTGTTGCCAATCTCTGAGAGGAGTTCTGCCACAGGTTTTATTCACTGGAATTCCTCAGGCACATCTTTCAGAGAGCTGTCAAAGCACCGCAGGCAACAAGTAAGACCGACATTGCGCGTTTCAGATCACAGTGCCCCAAAACATTCACATGTACGCAAAAATAGTGATTCGATGACTTCGTAAACATGTGGGTCGGTGTCTTGACCCTTGATCCCTTTATGTATATAATACATTTTAAGTTCAATTAAATTATATTTATATAGTGCCAAATCACAACAGCAGTCGCCTCAAGACACTTTATATTTGAAGGTAAAACCTCTACAATAAAATGATCAAATGATTCACTTTTAGCAAACACTTGGCAACAAAGGGGACAAAAATCTCCCTTTTAACAGGAAGAAATCTCAGAACCAGGGGATGATGACAAAAAATACACTTACATTTGATGATAAAATAAAGCAGCAGTTAAAAAAACATATTGACAGTAATTACTGCTATGGAATAGTAGTATTAATAATACAACAACAACAACAACAACAACAACAACAACAACAACTACTACTACTACTACTACTACTACTACTACTACTACAGCAGTAATAATTTATATAATTCCTGAAATTAAATTGTTTTATTCCTTCTTATAAATACATGACATACTTAGGAAAAAACAAAAAGCAGGTAATTACCAATTCTGTGCCCCACAAGTCACAACCAAGGGTCTCCTTAAGATTAAAGATTTCAGAATAAAATCTTTTCATATCCACTTACTTATCTATCACTGCATGCTGACACAAATTGATTTGTTGATCTTTGTACCGGCTTCAGTCACAGAATTATTACAACGGTGTGCAATAAACTTGCGATCTTGAAATGGCTTGAAATGGCCATGTTAAAGTTAGGGACCTGGTCTATGACGACTCACAGTCATGTGCCGTTTTCAGAGAGAATTTGGTACGTCAAGACGGTGATAAAACAACAGAGACAGTCAGCAGACTGACTGTCTCTGTTGCTCTGAAACTACATAGGTACTTGGCAGCCATGCTATTATATAGGAATATAACCAGAACTTAAACACCTTGCATTTAAATGAATTAAGTCCGCTGTTGGAAAGAGACTCATCACAGACGAGTTTTGCTCATCTGGGCAGATTGATTGGAATCTGGTAACAATTTGTTGTATTTATTAAGTTAGCAAGCAATTTGGTAAGCAATTATTTGTAAACATTTTCCAATCTGTGTGAGAGGAACTGCAGTTTCTACAAGGATTGCGACTGCACCTTGTGACCGAAGGTGGTTGCCCAGACGTTGAGGATGTTGCACTCTCGACCAAGACTCAAATTTTCTGGGTTAAACTGCTGGGTTAAACTCACAATCTGGAAATCAATCAGTTTATCTACTGACTTATAAGTTATTATTACTTATGACTTATTGCCTCTGTGGGTTTCAGAAACTCTCAGTGTAGCTGTCGAACATCTTGGCCAATACTTCCTTGTTACTTACTGTGGCGGAGCTGCAGGGGAGGTTTGGTACTGTGAGCTCAAGGGGCAGTGTCAGGGAGGTTCGAGGGACAGGTGTGCATGATAAAGCTAATGAGATTTCTCCCCTTTATATAGTGAAGCTGAAGACCAGCTGGAAAATTGGTACTGGGTGCCGAACCAGAATAACCTGCATGTGTGGAACTATAATAAACACGGGAGAAATCTGGTTTAATGAGGTTAAGGGGATTTTTAAGAACAGATTGCTCTATTCTCCATACACCTTAATAGTGAAAAGTGATTTCCTGTCTTTAAAGTGCTAACCATTTAACTATTCTTTGCTGCAACTAAAATATTGGGAAGGTAAATTGGTTCAAGTGTTAGAATCTGGATTTGAGGAATAGCTACCTTCATTATTAGGAGAGTGAACCAAACATGTGAAACTTGCTTAATTCTTAAGAAGAAAGAATGGGGCAGGGAGTTGCAGAGAACTGGACCTGATGAATTGGAAAAAGACAGAAGAGACAAAAATAAGATGAGAGGAGAAGAAGATGGAACAGTAGGGAGAGTGCTTGAGAGACAGATGCTAGTAGTCTGTTAGCATATTAACGTCTCCATGGAGGACAGGCAGACAGGTGAAAAGGCACAAGAGAGAAGCCAAAACATTAACATCACAGACAATGATTGGCAAGGACCTCGGGCTCATGCATGGCATTGTTCGGAGAACAACAACGCTGCTATAGATAATGGCCCTGCTGGTGAAAATAGAGGGGATGAATATATCAGGGTGCTGACCTTTCTGAATGTAGCCAATAAATGATAATTCAGATTCTGTCTTTATCAGGGTCCACGTAATTTGCTGATATTGTTCATCTTCGAGAAAGAAAATGCCTTTTTGTCGAAAACATAACCTAAGAATTTTGTCCATGTTATTTTGAAAATAACACTGTTTGACTGCAGTGAACGATTGAGTGGTGCCAGTTAAAAGCACCAGAATGCCAGGTAGTTGTTTTTTATATAAATATTTCGATAAAAAACTGGCAACATGAGATCATCTACATTCTTGCTCGTCATAGAAAAGCACTTCCACCACCTGTTTACCAGAAGCTTAAACCTTTTCTTCTTTAAAAACCTTTACAAAAGTTTCTTATTCTTGAAGTAATTATTTTGCAGCTTATTCCCAGTATGGCTTGTTAAAATGTGTAAGTGTTTAAAACCTTTTGAGCTTTGACCACTGAAAACTGATGCAGGGAACCCCGCTGAAAAAGAGCTTACATAAATTACAGCCCTCAGATAGAGCTGTAATTTATGTAATTGAGGGGCCGCTTTGTCACAGTTGATTGCACACACACACACGCACACACACACACACACACACACACACACACACACACACGGCTGGATTTGACATGCTTGAGTCCAGAGGGAATGTACCCTGAAAATCAAAAGACATTAACCAATTAACACTGATCAATAGTTTACAGCCACATAGGGATGAACCGGGAGGGATGACTTGGAGCATTGTCAATATGTGCCTTTGGGCCAATGGTCAGGCTGGGAATGCTATTCCTCACAGCTTTTAGCCAATCAAAATGCTGGATGAAGTCTTGACATTCTGCTACTCTCCAATGCAAAGTACCTTTCATGCTGTAGCTAGGCAGAATAAATGAGAGAGAGGCAGAGACAGAACAAGACCAGGAAGTGAAAGGAGGAGAAAGAAGAGAGGTGTTAAGCATAAAGCCAGAGTGGGAGAGTGTATGTGTTAGGCTGTGAAGGAAGGTGTCATAGTAGGCCACAGTGAGCAGCAGGTAATCTCACTGAGATAAGCAGTCGCATGACAGCCAACCTTTAATTCCCCATGGGAGGGGACACTGTGGAGTTGACGTAGGGCTGGTTTCCCAGTCCCCCTGAAAAAAGATTTACATAAAGCAGTAATGGGAATAGATGGATTGAGGATGCATTTTGATGAGGTGGTTGAGGCACAAGAAGAAGAAGAGAGAGAGAAGCTGACAAAGGCAAGGAGTAGTACAAATGCTGCACACATACATGAATATATACACAGATCACAGCGGTACGTCGGCACTTGCGCTGCTCTGTATTCATGATGAGGAGAGCAAATATCAGCACGGGGCTCAGGATGTATGGGGATTGATGTGAAAGGGAGAAAATGAGGGAGAAAGGGGGAGTGAAAGAGAGGTGGAGATATCTAAGATATTACACCTAGCCAGGGGAGTGTTCAGTGGAGCAGGCATTATGAGAGTGTAAATTACATTCTCTCCTCCCTTTGGGCTGCTGGCTGCAGGATGAATATAAGCACCCACAGCAGTGAGTCCGCACAGACACAGACCACAGTCTCTAGCATAGTAGCATAATACAGCATTAGATTGCCATAATGTGTTTATGTTTCGTGTCACAGGAGTCTCCAATCACGTATCGATCCTACATCAGTTCTCCCGCCTCATCTTTACTGAAATTATGTCCGATATTGACACATGGCTCATTTGTTTGAAATGAGTGGAGATCAATGGTGATTCACAGGGCTTTTTAAAACATCGAGCATCAAGTTGAACAGCTTCTTAGGTGGTAGGATAGAGGAGACTGGGGAGCTTTTGCTAATTTAGTTTCCCAAAACAAATTTTCTTTGGGGTTAGACCAACAATGCCGAATCAATTCAACGCAATTGTTTTTACTTTTAAAATTAGACTTAATTTAAAGATGTTATTTCAGCATTGAAGAAATTATGATCACAAAGTTGGTGATTTTGATCAAATAATAAACAAATGAAACCAAAAAAATAATTTCCAGACAATGAAGTGTTCCTGTTATCACAAGTATACGGCAACATTGTGTTTGTTGAATGTTTGCTTTGTGTAAAGCAATCTCTTAGAAAGAGCAGATAGACAGTTAATCCTCTTTATCTCTGCTCTTGGAGCTAATTTGTCTCCCAATGGGACCTTGAGAAAATAGAGAAGGTGGTAAGCCCACATCTACTGCAGAACTGATTGGTCTGCTTTATGGCAAAAAGAGTGGCAGGCCCAGATGTCAAGGATGTGAGGTCGGCGCCGGTTAAATAGGAGGGAAGCGACTTAATTCAAGGCTCATTACGTCTATACATTAGGCTGTGGTTAAAGGGAACAGGATTCTAATCCACCACTTCCCATGTGTCTTTCTTCCCCACCCCCCTCCCTTGATTTTGCCCTCCTTGTCTCCTCCTTCCTCTTCGTCTCTCATCCCATCAGGGCCGCTGTTCCAGAGAGAACTGTAAGTACCTGCATCCTCCTCCTCACCTAAAGACCCAGCTGGAGATCAATGGAAGAAACAACCTCATCCAACAGAAAAACATGGCCATGCTGGCCCAGCAGATGCAGCTCGCTAATGCCATGATGCCCGGCACACAGCTACAACCAGTGGTGAGTAGTCACTCACCAGACAGTTTATTAGGTACACCTGTTCAACTGCCCATTAACAAAAATGTCTAATCAGCCAATCACATAGCATCAACTGAGTGCATTTTGGCATGTAGACATGGTCAAAAGTCAGTTTTCCATCAGTACCCACTCAGATCGACTTGGCACGGTTCGCCACCTTTTCAGGGTTTTCCATTAGGTCATTGTGCCTGGTACCAGGTACCTTTTTTAGTATCTGCTCGCCTGGGGTTCCAAGTGATCCGAGCAGTCACCAAAATGTGATGTCGTTAGACTGCATGCCACAAAATGGTTCGTCAGTGAGTCACGAAATTTAAACCAGCATTTTTGGCGGTTTAAACAAGGCAATGAGGAAAATATGTCTACAAAGAACAACGCCGTGGTCCCGGAGTCTGACAAAAAGCCACAGACCGAGCAGCAGGTATATTCTTGTCCACCTTTCTACACCTCTCTACAAACCCTGGAGGCTTGTAGAGACTGCTCTGAAAAATGTCCACTGAGCAGCAAAATGCCTTGTTGATGCCTGAGGTCGGAGGAGAATGGACAGACTTCTTTGAGCCGATAGGAATCCAGCAGTAACTCCACTAACCACTTGCTACAGCCAAAGTATGCAGAAGAGCTTCTCTGAATGCACAACCTTTTAAACCTTGAAGTAGATGGGGTACTGCTTCAAGGTTCAAGTTTTTCCAATCTTGTGCCCAGTGTGATGAATCTCAATATCTAGTGTGACCTTCAGGTAGTAAGGTCAGAATTTGGCGAAAACAACAAGAAAGCATAGATCCATTATGCCTTCTATCAAGCTGCCAGTGGTGGTGGTTTAATGATGTAGCGAATAATTTCTTGGCGCCCCATCATACTAACTGAGCATCATTTAAATACCACAGCCTACCTGAATATATCTTTTTATGAGCACAGTGTACCCACCTTCTGATGCCCGCTTTAAACAGACTAAGGTGCCATGTCACAAAGCTCAGACTCATCTCAAACTGGTTTCTTGAACATGGCAGTGAGTCCACAGTACTCCAATGGGCTCCAGTCACAAGATCTTAATCCAACAAAGCACTTTTCAAAACAGTCTCTGAGCAAGACCTTGTTGAATTAAAGATGTTTTAAAGGCAAAATGGGGCCTAAAGCTATTAATAATTATGTACCTAATAAAATGGCAATTAACTGCACATTGCATATAAAAAATTCTATTCAAATACACGTCCAAAAAACTAATAACCACTCTACAGCCATCCATTTTTAATATGCAAGTTGGCCTGATTTGCTGGACCTTGTCAGTGGACAGAGTACTTACGGTTACTTACCTATTAATATAACGGTTTGAACATTCTGGGCTTAATTATGGATAATTATTACAATAAATATCCATACCAATGACCATATGTCTAAAATGTTCTGTTTTCAACAGGTAAAAAATATTTAACTGCAAAATGTTAATTGAATTTAGTCATTTATAGCAGCGGTTCTCAAATGTTGCTTGATATCGGAAAAATACTCACAATTATATCAGGGTTTAAAAAAGGATAGAAGTTAGATTTTAGTGAATTAAAGGCCAGCACAAACTCTTGTTTAAATTTTCCTAAAAAGTTATATCCATTGAACTTAGCTTGACTCCATTTTTTCCTTTGGTTCAAGTTATTGTCAAGATATTGTAGACGAGACAAGACGAAGATGTGCAAGATGCAAAATCTGCAAATATAGTATATTTTAGATGTGTGTTCAGTAACTATGTGACTGAGTGTGCAAATAAGCATATTTTTCCCAGATACAGTTTGTAGTGGATTCGTGTAAGATTTTTTTGTTTTTGAGTCTTTTGATGAGTATTGTAAGGTGTTTTGTGTTTGTCAGTCCTTTGATGTTAATGAGTTGAGGGCTCTGTTTGGCCCATATCCATTTAGATGGATTTTATGTCCACTAGTCTGGGTCAAAATGGTGGTTTTAGTGAATTTTGAAACTGTGTAACTGCACATGTGATGTCAGTGTGAATTTTTTCTATGAGACAGTAGTGACAGCTCAAAGGAGACCTGACACTGTCACGAGAGCTGCGTTCCCACCATATTTGCCCAGGTTCCTGTAAGAGGGCCCGAAATGTGACATCAGCACCGCTGCCCTCTGAAAACCATTATTTCCTGTGGTTTGTACCGTGCATGAATGGTTTGGCAAGGTGCAATGCAAACATGCTGTCTCGGAAGCTTCTTCATTGACATGACCAGTAGAAACAAAGAATGATGGGAAGCAGACACACATACTCTATATGAAGACAGTGAGCAGGCACAAAAAAATTACACAGTACAGATTTGGCACAGTAGCCAGCCAAAACTTTGGCTCGATCGAGTGTCAGTGCAGCACATACTGCTTACCACTCTACAGATCTTAACAAATTTATTAGACGACTTGTCATTAAAACAACAAAAAAACACAAATATTTCAGAAAGCTGTCTTGTTTTATTGGTATTTATTGAACAGCTAACAAACTGAATTCACATTTTAGACTCAAATAGTCGGCACACTGGACTTCTCTCTGAGAAGTCAGAAATTAATCAAGCATAACATACATTTTTGTTTGTCCAGCAAGTAAATAATTGAAATGTTGCGTCTTAATCTTAATTAATGATATTCTAGTTATTTTTTCAACTCTTTTGTAAAACATTACATTTGAAAATTGGATGGATAACAGCAGCAATTATATTCTAACATTAGGAGCATAGTTTTGATTAGCTGATGTTTACTGGTGGAATAATCACTACAGAAACAATGATAGCAGTGATTTTGGTAATTATGCTGTGTAATTAAGATCATCTGTGACGCAGACTTTATACTGGGTGTTCTGATAATTTGTTAAGCACTGTATGTGAAATAGCACAAGATTGATCAGACATGAGGCTCATAAGGACCATAATCCATGCCATTTCAGTGAGTATAGGAAAAACAGTCCTACACAAAGTTTCCTACCACTGCTGTGAATGCACAGACTAATTTGCAATAAGCAATTTTGTGTGCTTTGTCATCTAACAGTTTATTATTGCTAAATTAACATTCATAATTATACTTGGTAATTTCCTAGGATTTGCTTAATGACAACAATAAAGACAGTGTTTATAGGTTTAGTGGTTATATAATAAATCCCAGCAGTTCCAGAATGTTCTTGCCAGTTTCACATTCAATAAAACAAATACATTCCAAATAGGACCATATTACAAAGGTATGAAGTATAAACAGGTTGTAAGGGTTAATAAAAACGTTTTTTTTCCTGATTTTAAACCCCCCTAAAAATAATATTTGTAGCATTTGTCCAATGTAAACCGATCATAAGGGCAATCATATGATCAGCACTTAGGCCGATCATAGGACTGCCGGTGGGTTGGGTTGTTTGTCTGTTTAGTGTTCTTTAAATGAACTTGAAAAACATGAAAGCCATGAAAAACAGTTCTGTGACTGAGTTTGAAAAAAATGTTTAGCTTAAAGAAAATTGACAGAATTAGTTAATTTGATGAAAGTTTATTCTTACTTTCCCTTTCGATTGTACATTGCATAATATAGAAAACTAAAAAACTAGTAACTGCTTTACAAAACTAATACGTGAACCTTTATTTTGGTCATTTATGTTTAGCAAATCAGAATGGATTAAATAGGCAGTTGGGTTAGGTTCTAACTATGGATGGGTGGATGGATGGATGGATAGCCAGTCCTGGTATAAGGCAATGAAGGGAATTATTTTAAATGATTAGCAGCACATCCATAAAGCCATATAACATACACACACAACAAACTGAATTAAAATGTTGCTCTATGTATGTGCAGCATGCTTCAAGGATGTTCAAGGTGATAGCCACAGCCCCGTTCAGCCAAATGAATCCTTCCATGACCGATCCAGAGACCTTACAGAAACAATGAGAACTGCCAGTCAGGCTTGAAGTAATTCCTCTGTCATCTCCACTGTCCACTTTATGTTTAAGTGAGAGCACTGGAGTGAATTTGTCTAACACTATTCAAAGGAGTTCAAAAGATGCTGTGTGCTTTGACGCACATCTGCAAGTGCACACTTAGCTGATGGCTTATCAACCCTATCTAGAAAAGAGAGGCTGAGTTGAGAGCCCCATTGGGAGGGATGGGGTTTAAAGAAGCATAGATCTCCCTGGAACTGCAAAGCCTTCCTTTCTGTTTATGTCATGGGGTGAGAGAAAGCAAGACGAGAGAAGAAGCAGGAAGACAAGCTGACAAAGAAGGACACAGCAGAAGAAGAAAGGGAGAAGGAAATGCAGCCGAAATAGATAAATGGGCAGGGTAAGACAGGTAGGTAAAGTGAAGGAGATAGGATGACAGCAGTGAGGAGAGATGGCTTTAGACCTCCACTACAAAGAAAAGTCAAGAAAATAGAGCATGTTCTGTGCACAGGGATCAAAGGGTAAAACCGGGTACTTACCTTTCTAGGAATCAGACTTTATTCTTCCTAACCTCACCGTGTGTTTGTAGCTCAGTCTCCTTCTTCCACCCTTAGTATCTCTACCACATTTTATTTCCCCCTTTTTTTTCTTTTATCTGCAGCTATCCATCCTTCCTCAGTGTATGTAGGTAACCTACTTTAATTTCATGCATTGGACCATGAACACAGTGAAGTGGTTACGGTCTGTCACAGCTGGTTGTCACTCACTCACAGTAGGAAAGGACCTGTTTAGTACAGATCCTCTTTGAAGATAAAATAAGTCAAAGCATGAAGCCACAATCCAATGACATTCCAGTGGTTGGCTGTAATTGGCCACATCTCTGTGTTTAAATATTTAGGAGCTGAAGTTATGGCTCATGTGGCAAAGTGTTTGCACTACAACAAAGAAAGGTCAAACTAGGTCAGTGCGTCTGACGTACAAATCTTAGAATATTCAAATCTGAATTTAAGCTTGTTTAAAAAGAGTTTCAATATGTATTGAATATCTTTATATAGTATGTTTCTTAGTCCATTATAACCAGTTCAGTGGCTAATTGGTAAAACCACAATTTAGATAAATAAAGTTGTGCAATGACTGTTATGTCGCATTTTACCGTCATGATCATTATAATTGTAGTGGGGACTTTTCAGCAAAACTTAACTTTAGGTTTTCCACCGTTATGCAAAAAACAACAACAGCAAACATGCCCAGAAAAAGAGAGGATAACAAATTTTACTGGGAATAGTGAAAACAAATACTGCTGAACCGTAATTAAGCCCTGTATGCAATTACAGATGTTTCTGTTATAACATTTTTGTTAATTAATGTGAATATTCAATTTCATATCAATACTGAAACTTCGACGTGTTCCAAAAAAGGCCTATTAGTAAGCTTTCAAACTCTTTGCAAGATGATATCACTGCATAGTTAAAACCCCATGACCGCAAATGTTTTAGATGACATCATGCTTATTCCATCCAAACCCCAAGCTGCAAATATCTCAAACTGATATCTGAGCACCTGGAGTGAGACACATCTGCTTTTCCAGAGCACCTTATGATCGCAAACAACTCTTCAGACATTCCAGAGGGCAGTGCCGAAAGAATTATTTCTGATTTTCTGAGTCATCGCTGAGCAGTGAGGAGGTTTTAGGAAGAATGTATCAGTACAGCCCTGGCTGCCGCTCCTCTATTACTCACTGTGTCCTGTTGGCAGGGGCTCAAAAGACAATTCTTAGACTGGGGCTGAGGTCAGGATCAGGCAGGGAAAACTTTGCAGTGCATACTCCTCTCTCTGTCAAACTCCAGTGCAACGCATACAGGCAGTACTTTATCTTACAGTGAAGCCTCTCTCCCCACTCACATGCTCACACAGCTTGACGTCCTTCATCAGTACTGCTAACTGTCTGATATCTGGGGTATGAAGCATGTGATTCCATCTGATCAATGGAAGAAGGTGACACCACATACTGACGCTTGCTCTGGGCGTTAGTGCAAATGAAAGACAAGCAGCCATGTTCTTTTTCCTCAGATGTTAATTATCTGTTTTTGCATCTTTCCTTCCACATCCACAATCAGAGTTCCTATTTTTTGCTTTGCTACTGATAATCTTCTATTTCTGCCTCATATGCTGTATATCCACAAGGCGTAATATTTATATGAGGAAGAAACAATGTGATTATATATGTAGCGTCTTTATACATAGACTGTGAGAAATCATTGTGGATCAATTTTGACCAACTCTCTTATTTTGCATGTGCTCTCAGCCCATGTTTTCAGTCACACCCAGCCTTGCAACCAATGCCAATGCTGCTGCAGCAGCGGCTGCTGCATTTAACCCCTACCTTGGCCCTGTGTCGCCCGGCCTGATGCCCGCTGACATCTTGCCCAGTGCCCCCGTACTGGTCACCAGCAACCCCAGCGTTCCCATACCTGCTGCTGCTGCTGCCGCCGCTGCTGCACAGAAACTCATGAGGACAGACAGACTGGAGGTGAGGAGGAACACAAACATTTACACACATTCGCAAGAAAAAGTGGGGGAAAAATATATGTAAGCACATCGGGAGGATTTGCATAATTTTTTGTGATTCCTTTGATACTCGCAGATTATAAAATACGATTGGGAGAAATACCTTTTTCACACCTTTCTAACAGAAGCTTTTCAGATGTAGGATCTGTCTGTTCAATATTAACAGTCTTGTTTGTACGTCTGTGTATATACACCATTCCTGTTACACTAACTACATGCCATTACCAAGACAGATTTATTTCTCAGACTTAAGCAAGAGAATGAGATGTTAATGAAAGCATCCACAAACATTACCATTGCTGACTCTATCGATACGAAGGGGATAATTTTGTCTGGCACAAGCTCGGGTTATAATGTACATATGTCATTTTCAGAAAAATCTTTACTTCTTCTCGGAAAGCAATTAGTTCTTTGAAACCTGATGAGCGCCCCTCCTCCAGCTGCGTTCAGATAATCATTAATTGGACAGTAAGTCAATCTCATCCATTATGTAGCCCCACCCGAGAAACAGTGGCAGCGGAATAATGGGGAAATCGTTGGAGGCAGGCAGGAGGCGTGCAAGAATGCAGGAAGGTTACATTTAAGATGTAATGTTGGGTAGCTGGGTAATTAATGGGGGTGAGGCTGAGTAAGTCTTTGGACCAAGTGAATGAATCGACAACATGCAGAGCGACAGAACAGGTCACTGACAGGAAAGAGAGATGGAGGCGGAAGATAGGAAATCAATTTGTAGACCTGTTGTGGTCATCAGGGGAGGGGTTGGAGCAGGCAGAGACAGAGATACCAGAAACACAGCAAAGGCCGCTGACTGAATTTTATGGAGGCGTTAGTAAAAGTCATGCTGTAGAGGTTAAGGATAAGTGGAGGCAAGACGCTGCGAGTAGGAGAGCATGCACCTCTCGATTCAGACAAAGGATTAAAACGATTTGTCCTGCAAAAGATCGATAGCAAAAGGATATGAACTATTTATCAGCCAAATCAGAAATACTCTCCTCATTCCACTTTTGTTTTCCTTTTAGATAGAGAGGCCTGTTGGTCAACGGCATCTGCGGTGGTCAGGCTGCGGGAGAGGTAGTGAGGCTGCATGTGTGGGTGAAGCTTTTTGATGAGGAGATTTCATATCCTAGTTTCTTAATTTGAAAGGAACTAGGTTTGCTAAAAATATCTTAGAGAAAGGGGCCAGTCATATTTCAGTTTCCAGTGTGTGTCGTTCAAAGTAAACATAGCTGGAATTCTGTGGAGCGACACACATACCGCTCAGTTGATGTGTTTCGGACTGTTTCCTTTAGGCTGTGAGAAATTCCAATTTTAGAAGACAATGCCCCAGACAGTTTTCCTGAGAAAATATGCTCCAGAAGTCTTGCTGTCTTTTCCTTACATACGGTATGCTGCAACATGTCATCATGCATAAAGTCATATGTTGGTCACCTGCAACCATGGTGATGCAAGTGGCTCAGGGGGCTAGTTAGACATCTGGTCCCGAGAACATCAAATCCTATCATTCAGTCCTCTCCTGTTTTTTTCTCCTATGACAGCCTACATACACCTCATCACCAAAGGCTCTCACTTTCTCCTCCATCTCCATCCTCGTCTTTTTACTCTATATTCGTCAACCACGCTTACATTTCCCTTCTCTCCAAGTTTCCTCCCTCCCTCACCCGCCTCTACAACATCTGCCTGACAACAAGGCAGTCTCTCGTTTAAAAAAAATAAGACAAGTAACAGTAGTTACTGGTTAGCAGTGGTGGGGTGGTGTGCACGTGTAGGCATACATATCTGAGAAAGGGAGAGGTACCCACGAGAAACAAGGGACAGGCAAAGAGAGAAACGCCATCACTCACAGCAGTCAGTGAACGTAGATGATGAGCTGTCAGGACTGGAGACAGAGCAGTTTGCAGATAACGGTGCTGGTGGCCTTTTGTCTGGCAGCCGGTCCACCACAAATCAAATCCTTTATGCACGCAGACAGGGAGACTGGTAAACAGACTTAGTAAATGGCTTGTTCCATCACAGTAACTGATAGATCAATACAACGCACCATGAAATTGCATTTCTTTTGGTGGAGGATTGCATCTCGAATCCAGTTCAGACTCAACGGTCTGATGGAGCGCCGAGAGCAGAGATCTGAAGTTATTGCAAGGCTCTTTAAGTGCCTAAATTAAAAAAAAAAACAGTGCTGCCTTATAATATATATACACACCCACCTTTTGTGTGTGTGTGTGTGCGTGCGTGTGTTTGCTACTGTGTGCCAGCGGCTGACAATTACGTCAGCTACAGCCTCCCCCGAGGGTAACCACCTTTATATTTCCCATGAGCCTCATTGAGTCTGTACGTTCAGAATGAAGAAGGCATTTTCCCAATTCTTCATGCAAGTGCTGCCCCCTTCTGTCAGACTCAGGAAGGACAAAAACAGTTCTCATTTAAATAATGGATGAATGCGGTGTGATTAATGAGTCTGTAAACGTTGGTTAGGATCTGTTCTGCTTATCAATCAACATTAATGGCTGAACCCATCATTAAGATCGGTTACCTTGTCTGATACCATGTGAAATGACGGAGCAGATTGATTGCTTTATCACGTGGACTCACCAGTAACTTTGTAACTTATGTGTGTAACTGTGTATGTGTGTGTATGTGTGTTAGGTTTATGATCAAATCCTTACCATTGCCCCAGGTATGCCGGGAATATCAGAGGGGTAACTGCACGCGTGGGGAGAACGACTGTCGCTTTGCCCATCCTGCAGATAGCACCATGATCGACACCAACGACAACACAGTCACCGTGTGTATGGACTACATAAAGGGCCGCTGCTCGAGGGAGAAGTGCAAGTACTTTCACCCTCCGGCTCACCTGCAGGCCAAAATCAAAGCCGCCCAACACCAAGTCAACCAAGCTGCAGCTGCTGCAGCCATGGTAGGTATCTGTTTACATTACACCTCCAAAAGCAAATCAAACTAAGAAACATTCATGTATTATAATCTCACAACCTGCTGTTAGCAATTAAAGCTAAATGTCATTTAATGTACATTAAAGTTTAAAATGTATAGTTTTTCCAAAAATAATTTCTTTTTTAGTTTGGAGCAGAAGCATTGCACCACAAATACTCTAATCTGGAGATAATTTTCTATGTATTGACAGCGTTGCTTGAGCCAGTACATTTTACCCTGCTTTTAACCTCAACCTTTAGTCGCCGTTGTGCCTCTGCAGCTCTGACTCAGTACGCCCTAAAACGATACAGATGTAGCTTGTGTCAATGTGTGCTTTATTAGCAGCAGCAGTAATCGTGCTAGTATGTGACTGAGCCTCCCCTCGCCTGCTCCTCCTTGTTTTGCTGCTTTGTTAGTTTTACATTTTGCTTTTTCACAATCGATAGATGTGTAACATTTTTTGCTGAGAAGACAATTGTGTAGACTGCGGCATATTTTGGATCTTGTTTCCGCAATGCAGCGATCGGTTTCTCTAAAGAGACAGTAAAAAGGTCGTGCTCCGCCAAGTAGATAATATTGTGCATCACTGAATTCAAAAATATGGGTCAGCTTTATTTCAGTTAACCTTTCATTTCTGTTTATTTCGATTGATTCAGCACAATTTGAGCAGGCCTGCCATTTATCATGTCCAATCTCATCTTTTCCAAATAAAATGTAGTAACTTCCTGGGATATAAAATGGCAATTAGTATGAATATAATGGCACAATGATAATTATTACGACAGTGTATCTATAGAATTAGACTGAATTATTGTTCTCTTTTTTTCTTTTATTACAAATAGCCGGACCTGTGACGCTTTTTCAAAGTCTTCATTGAGTATTTAGTTGTGACACATGAAACAATCTCAAACAGAGAACACAGCATCGCATTCGCAGGGGGATGACATGATTCAATACAATTTCATTTATATAGCGCCAGAACACAACAAGCACCTCCAGGTGTTTTATAGCTTTATATTGTAAGGTAAAGACCCTATAATATTAGAAAGAAAACTCCAACGATCAGACAACCCTGCATGAGCAAGCACTTGGCGACAGTGGGAAGGAAAAAATCCTTTTGAACAGGAAGAAACCTGCAGCAGAAGCAGCATCTGGGGCAACCATCTGCTATGATCGGCTGGGGGCGATGGGACAGAGACAGGACAAAGGATTTAGTAATAAAACATTTTAAAATGTATCTACAATTTTATAATCAGTGTATGTGATACAAAAGTTTTGTTCAGATTGGCCCACCTGTTAAAGAGAAGATAGGATATATACATGTACCCTAGGATCATTATAGTAAGAATTTAGGAACAAACACATCTGAAGATGTCAGTGATTTTTTTATGGTTTATTCAAATCATGTGAATGAAACAGAAAAAACAGGAAGAGGAGAATCACACAAGTACTGGAAACTGCAGTCGTTTAAGACCCTTAAAACGGGCCTAGGACCAAGAGTCATGTGCCACTTTAGGAAATTTGTTTCAGTGCAGTTGCCATAGTCCAGCCACCACAGGCTTTAAGAAAGTAGTGCATCTGGAGCAGAGGGCAGAATCACATTAGATAATATTTATAGTCTGTTTCAAATGAATGTATTTGATCAAAGCTCATTCATTGGCTAATAATCTTTTCTGGACCATAGCATAGAATTTTCGTATTCATGAAAATAAAAACTTTCTTCTGACAGCAAAGTTTGCCAAGGGCTGTAATTCTTTTCAGTAACCCTAAAGCCATTAATGTGCATGCACAAGTCTTGTAATTGTTGTATATTGCATTCCAATGATTTGTTTTTGTTTGTTTGTTTGTTTTTTTTGTTTGTTTTTTTTCCTCACCAACCCACACTGCACTGCTGCCCCCATGACGCACCTTCGCTTGCTGGTTTTTGTTAATGCGCTTGAACCCCATTGGCCCATTGCCATCATGTGCTCGCTGCCTGCTAATTAAGACTCAGTCGGCTGTCAAATCACTGAAGCGACCCCTCGACGCAACTTTTGATCTGGTACTATGACCTTTCACCTTTTAGCTTGGCATGCAGCTGTGGTGTGATAGATATAGTTTGAAGCTGTGTTTAACTAACTAAATGAGAAAGCACTTAAGGGTGATGAACTGATTGTAACCTTTGGTTTGACGTTTTAAGATTAAAAACAGATTCCAATCACATCAGCGAAGAATATGTGACAGTGGCTCAAAACTGGAAATGCACTACATTTTCCAATGTCAGTTCATCACCTTAAGTGAATCTCAAAAAACACTTCACTGGAAGCATGAAAATGCAAATGTTTATTGTGGTATAAGCTATGGTAGTCTTTGCATGTGTTGGTCATTTCCCATACTGCATGTGTAACTGGTAAAGAGATGTCATGACAGTCTTAACATGGCGTATAGTTTACTATTATCATGGAGCTGACAGCGCAACTTTCCCTAACTACATCATTTCCATTGGTGGTCCAACAATCTGTGCTTCAGCTTATATTAAGCAGCTGCTAAGTTCTCTTTACAGAAAATTCGAGTTCTCAGCCAGCAAAATATTGACTGTATCTACTGTAATATTCTAAAATCATGTAAAAAGGTTCATGACAATATCTTGAGGACTTTTATGCTTGTCGTAAGATATATGTCACACAATTTTTTGTCAGCTAGCACCTCTGTCCGCCTGCTCTGACAGAAGTAATGTAGTCCACTGCTTGCTTGCCAATATATTTGATCGCTGTTTTGATGGGCAATTTAATCTTCTAATGAATTTCTTTCTTCTCTCTGTCCTGAATGTCACTGCTACCATACTTTGATTTCCCTCACTCCCATCCTTTTGTTTTGATGTTGTCCCCTCTTCAGGGGCTCCCTCCCGTCTTGCCTCCTTTACCAAAGAGACCTGCACTTGAAAAAGCCAACGGTGCCACCACTATGTTCAATGCTGGTGTATTCCCGTACCAACAGGCCCTGGCCAACATGCAGTTTCAGCAGCAGGCTGCCTTCATACCATCAGGTAAGGTCCGAGTCTTCTTTAACTGGTGTTTGTTGCAGTTATCCTATTCACATTTCACACTCCTTTGATTATGGTTTGGTATCTGCACTGACTGGCTGAATGTGTGAAATGATGGGGGAAAAACTTGCACAGTGTTATTTGCACATATATGTACTGCATGGGCATAACTTTGGTATCACAAGTGGGAAGAGAAATAGTCAAAAGGTTAATTTTTTTTTCATTTATAAACAGGCAGGCAGTGCTAGGATGTCTTTACACCTGTATTTTTTTTCTTTTCTCTGGCCCGAGTCAGTTCATGAGTTTGTAAACTTGTAGCTTTTCCCGGTGGTTTGTTTTGTTTTCACACACGGAGAAATCCAAGTGAACCAAAGTGCTTCACTACAAAAACAACGTGAAAATATTTAGGCTGCTTATTGGCCAGATGAGTCTGGGGCTGGAGAAACAACAGTAAATACAGGAAGAAGGTGCTGCATTCTAGACTAGAGGAGAGTTTATATTCATTTCACGGTTAGTTGTTTGCCCGCACAGACTTTGGCACATTTATAGTACCTTGCCGCATTCAGAATACAAAGCATACATGGTAACGGGAACTTTTTGAGCTCAAACTTGGAACGCAGTTGGGTCGGATCATGTTCACATGAAAAACGAACTGCTCTGGAGTCCATTCGGAACCAAAGGGTCTCGGTGCGATTGTTTTACACCCGAGTCCAATTACTGTTTTCACATCTGCCCAAATGATCGCACTGAGGGAAAAAACAAACCAGAGTTTCAATGAACTAAGCACTGCAGGTTTTTAAAACACCCTTAGTAATACACATAAACCATGCTCAAAAGATCATCCTAATAAACAGGAAGCAGTAATTTTGAATAAGATGCAACTGAGATAAATAAATCAAAGTTTTTATTTATTTAAATATTTATTAAAATGTTCATTAAGTTGACCATTTGATGTTACATTTACATGGGAAATATACATTTAATTAAATTAGTCACAAATCAACATTTTGGGCTCAAAATGTTTTGTGTGGTATAAAAACATTATAAGACTTTTTCATTATATAAAATACAAGGAACAGCAGGAGCAAGATATGACTTTAATTGAACTGAAATTCTGAAAAATGGGGCAAGACAATCCACGACTGCTGGAACATGAGGGGCACTTCCTCACTCTCTGCCAGTGTAAATTATACCCAAGGTGTACACTACATGTGCATGCACAAAATGCACACGCACACAGCTTTTTAAAATGTTCTTCTTTGGGCACTGCATAGTCATCTTTAACTGTGCCCCATATTCTCCTGTGACAGCCTAACAATAGCCTGCCATCGATTCCCATCTGTGAGACATTCAGATCCTCAGATCCTCATATGTCCCACTCTATTGGACTGTCAGATCACTACAGCTACACTGTTCGAGGGCTTAAAAAGCAAGCCATTCAAACCTGTCACCGTACAAACAGCTGCCATGGCCCTGACAGGAAAATTGGGGTAGTGGTAGCGTTTAATTTGCCCTTCACTTTAATGGAGAAGTTGAACAGTAAACTGGGGTTGGCCAGCAAGTTTTGTTTTCTTTTCAGTTTTTTACACCTCTTCCCACTCAGAACTTGCATGCATATGTTTTCTTAAATATGCAGTATGTGCAGTTACAGCAACTGCAAGCCATGAAAGTAATAATAACCAATGCTGTTGTATAATAAGCTGTGGCCACTCTATGAAAGAGTTCACATGTTTACATCCAGAATGAATCCAATATTGTCTGACTTTGTAACACTTGTAATGCATTTTGCTGATTTCTTCTCCCCCCTATTCACTCCACTCCCTGTTGCAATGCATGATGGGCAGGCTCGATATTGTGCATGACACCTGCAACAAGTGTTGGTAGGTGCCAGCTTTCCTTATTGATTATCTTTGAACCCCATTGTAGTCACTCTCATTTAACTCACCACATAAAGTGAGCACAGTTTTTTTTTTTAATTTAGACTTTGAAATGTACTCAAAATGATATTCAGTGTATTTTCAACACAGGCTATTCAAATGTAAATTGCAAATTTTGATTGTGAGCATACTTGTGTAATTTCAATTGGAAATGATGTGCTTTACTTTTCTGTACTGTAGACCTCTTTGCTTCACCACAGATCTGTCTGTCACCTAATGCTTGTTGCAGTTCAAAATCCCCTGACCCCTGCTTTGTTTAACTTACATTTCAACCTCTTTAACCTCTTGAGCACCTCATTATACTGTCTGGTTATAAATGCCAAATAAACATGAGGATTTATCAGTGGTAGCGGAAGAAAGGATAGAGATGTTGTGTGAAGTTTATGCAATCCTGATTGTACTGTAATTTTTGCAAAACCCAGTGAACTCTCTTATTCAGTTTTGAATGCTCCCCGCCAAGAAAATAACACGCTGCCACCTGATATGATATGCTCGTCCAAATTTCAATTAGCCGCTATTTAAATAATTTCCCTGACGTTTCGTTTCTTTTTCCACAGCAGGTGAGTTGCTCTGAGTTTACGCAAATTGCTGGGATATTTGTAGATAGAACGTTAAAGATTGCTAGAAAGCAGACAATAAATCTGAACCTGTTTAGATCTCATGTTTATCAGCATTCTATACACAGACATACAAATGAAGTGTCAAGCATTAAAAGCTTTAAATCTGCTCTGGTTCAACTGCCTGTGTGATCTTTCCCCCTCCAAGTACCCATGATGCACGGTGCTACCCCAGCCACTGTGTCTGCAGCCACCACATCTGCCACAAGTGTTCCCTTTGCAACAGCAACAGCCAATCAGGTTTGCTCCTCTCCTGCCTTCTTTCACAGTCTGCTATCACCTCTGACTTTTTCTCCTCTAATCGTACAATTTCAATGTGAATGAAATGAAAAATGCATGAGTGGTGCACAAGGCTCACCTCTGGTCTTTGCTAGTTATTTCTAAATATCTCAATTTGTGATTGTAGACATAATCGCTATGCTTATCCTTGTTAGCGGTTGTGGTTCCAGTGTGTTTTGTCCTCATTGCAGTAGACCCTTCTGTTTATTTCCCTCTGTCTTCCCATTCCCCCCTCCTCCCCTATTTGTCTTTTCTCCTCCCAATCAGATTCCAATAATATCTGCAGACCATCTGACTAGTCACAAGTATGTGACCCAGATGTAGAAGTCTCAGAACAGTATGTACTGCACCTCCAGCACCTCACACAATGCATTCGAACAATAAATCTTTTTCCTCTGAAAAAGACCTCCAAACCCCTGATGTGACAGAGTTGCAAAAGCTTTTTTTTGTTTGCTTTTTGGGGGAGTTAAGGTTCTAATCAGGAATGTTTTTTACAAAATAAAATTGTTTACTTACTTGGTAGCAGTTAGAAGAGTAGATTACGTCTCCGCTCATATTTGAAGGTTAAAGATGAAGCTGGAGTCAGGAGCTGCTTAACTTAGCTTAGAATAATCAAGAGAAACACAGCAAAACAGGTAGAATAAAAAAAAACTAAATGAAATATGAATAAATAAATGTATTAAAAGCTGCCAAGTAGAGCGTCGAGTGCTTATCTGTTTACATTCCCTCCCTGCATGTTGAAATTTATACAGTAATGTTTGCCAATATTTAAAGTTGTGATTCTAAATGGTTGCTGGAAACATTAACTAGCTTGTAAGCTGCCAGCAGCTACAACATGCCAGGAATAGCAAATAAGCTTCCACACTATCAAACAGCACAAGCCAACAGAGATGAATTAATATCCTGTTTGTCTTGTATGACTTGGCCACTGTGGAAGTTTTCACAGTGATCCATCAGATTTTCTTGCGCTCCTGGTTCCCCGCTGATGAGATTTACGATATGATAGTCATCATACAGCTGAACTAGATCAAATTAATTTCAGCCACTCAGTGTTTGCATACTTTTACATATTTTTTCAAAATCAGTATGAAAACCGTAAAAAAAATATCTTGTTTTCTTTTTGATACAGCTGTGAATATCTCAGCTCTTTAAGTGTTTTAGTAAAGTAGAACATAAACAATGTATTATAGAATTGATTGATATAACCTGTGTCGATATAAAACTCATAAAAATAGTTAATATTAATAATATGAAATAATATATGAAATAATAAAATACTAATAACGTTGATGACAAATAAGTAACATCAAAAATGTCAAATATCACATCTTGTTCTAAAGCAGCTTGTGCTTCTAAGAAATATGTTCATATTGGACAATTGTGCAGCTAATGGGTTCTAATATTCAGTAACAGTGCATGAAATAGTCTGCCTCCCCTCAGAGATCTTCATTTAACCTTTTTGTTTGCCTTGATTTTCGCTAACTATAACTTTGTACATTATTGTACAAAAGTTTTGAGCCACCTCTCATTCATTAGATTTTGTTTTCAAGGAGTTTGACACAGCTGCCGCAGTTCAGCTGATCCATCATAAATGGATCTGCTGAATGGTTTTCAAGAAGCTGTTAAAAAGTAAATTTGAATTTTTGATTCAAATCATCATCAATATGCAAAGAGGAGGTCAGAAGACAAGTACAACAGTGAGCATCTACAGACCTCTGTAAAACAGTGTTGAGGCTCTGTCAAAGTTTAGAGGTGTATTTCAGCCTGTGGTGTTGGAGAACATAACTGATGAAATTATCCTCGCTTTGATCCACCGTGCAACACCATCCGCCTCACTTTTCAGCAGGGCAGTGATCGCAAACACACTGCAGTAACAACAGATAGAAAAACAAGTGGAACATTTTCCAGTTATTCAGTGGTTTTCCAAAGCCTGGATCACATTATTGTCCTTCAAGAATCTTGTACAACTACTCCTGAACACTACTTTGTGTTTTTATCTATTGTACAGTGTCCTTGGGGGTCTTTAAAGGCGCTTTATAAATAAAATTTATTATTATTATTATTATTATTACTTGAAGAAACTGCAAGAGAGCTTCCCTTAGAGCGTTGAATAATAAAGGTGGTCATACCAAGTATTGACTTTTAAGGTTGTTAAAATGGTAAATTATCAGCTTTTGCCTTACATGATGTATTTCTATATATGATTGCACATTTTTTTTTAAAAATCAGCGCTTTATATGTATATATAAACAAATAATAAAACAAATGAGTGGTTCAAGTACAGTTTGTAATTCACAGTTACTATGGAAACCATACATTCATTTGTTTTAGACAGAAATTTTAGAAAGAAACTTCGAGGCTTCCATTATCAGCATTATTGTCTGATTGAACTCTAAGTCAGCAGTAAACTCACTAACTTTGCTTCGCCATTTTGTCGTTGCTCACAACTGACCTCCTGCACTTCATGCACTTCTTTTCAGATGGAGCTGCAGCGTGCTGGTGTCAAGTCCAAGATTAGTGGTCACCCTTCATGCTCGTAACATCAGGAGCGAAACGGAGGACCGAACTGGTTTGGAATAAATCTGCATGTTAACATAGGAGGCACAGTTTGTTAGAAGCGTTTTCATGTGTACTTCATGCACACTATTACACAACAAGAGAAAAGAACAACATCGCATCAAAGACTGCCTTGCGTTCTGTAGAGGCAACTGACCTTTATTCACCAGACACACTTTGAATGTTAACATAAGGTAAATGTGTGGAGCAGTCGCTGAACACGTCGACTGAATCGGTACGTCTGCTGACCAAGAATCATGACTTACGTTGTGCGTGTTTATTCATCGGTTGTTGGTCTTTTGTTTACACAAAGGTGCACCTTGTATTTCATTTGAGGAAAAACGAAACAAATAATCTGACTGAATCACATATGCATGCACAATGATTTTGTTAATGATTTGATTTTGTTAAACCTGATATAAGGGAAATTACATGAGTGCACTCAGAGGCAAAATAGCAACTGAATGTCTGTGAGGTGTCTTTCAAACCTTTGTAGCCTACCTTTCTATCTCTTAAGCACATGTCTTTAATGTTGCAGGCCTCCCTGTAAAGTGCCATACATCTCAAACTACATGAATGGTATAGAAGCAGTGTTACAAAGTGTTGCAACTCAACGACTCCCTTTAATACGTCTCTTTTCTCTTTTGGACAGCATGAAGTGTCCAATGTCATAGCCCGTCATTGTTTGTGATTCCCTAAGAGCACCATCGCCCCATTGATTAGATGACCGTCCCCGGATCGTGTGCTTTACATAAATCTTCTACTGAATGATTAGCTTTTCATTTTATTTTCTTCAACTTTGTTGTTGATGTCAGTTGTTTAGACGTGAAATGTCTTGACTCGTAATCCGAGCTCTGTGCGGCCATTAAGTCTGTTGACTCTAAACGTCAGACGAGTAGACTGTGAGATCTCAGCCTGGGTGAGAGACCAAAGAAGCTCTCTCAGCGATGAAACTGTTATGATGACACCACAGGGTCAGGATCAGATGATGTCCACGCTGCTGTGAGACAGAAGTCAAAATCTACAGTGCGACTGGCAAATACGCGACCTGTACGACCCGATTTGTTTTTCATTGGTATCGTTATTCATATTTTAAGACAGGTTAAAGTAAATTCAGTGTAGTGTATATAAAGTCAGACATATTTAAGAGTATTTGTTCTTATGTCTACCTGAGAACTGTTTTTCAGATAGTCAGCCAAAGTCTTTTCGTGTCACTGTTGTTAGGTGTTGTGGATAGACTAGTGGGGCTAAATTCTTAAAAATATGTAGCCCAAAGAAGGATCGAGTGTTTGGAGTAGATCTCTAGAACTCTTTATGTTATTTTATTTTTTAATATTCTGGGTGTTTTTTCAGGCATAGTCAATTGGTGGAAAGTACAGGGAAAGTGGCAAGAATATAAACGATTGTATAACTCATCCAAAGCCTTAGAATGTATTATCGGGTCAGCACAATGCAACATGCCATTTTGAACCATCCAGTTGCCTAATCCACGCCATATTAACACACAGCGAGAGCACTATGTAACTGTCACTTTTTTTGTCTGTGTTTTCTTAACTCTCTTGTGGTTTTCTTTGTTAGACAACAACAATTGTTTGATTTTTTTGTTTGGATGATTTTTTTTGATATTAGTTCAGTTTTTCAGTTTGGCTTATTATATTTATCTTTCTTATAATGAATATAAGGTACAGTGTGTGTGTTTGCGTGTTCCTCATGCACAGTTCCCTGAAATTCCATGTAATGTTAATTTTCGTATGATTACAATTGTAAACTCAATATTTTCTACGTTATGCATATTGTTGAACTGTATGCATATTGTTCATTTCGCTAGTCTTTTTTTTTTGTCTTCTTTGAACAAAGATGTTTTATATGAGTATCTAAAAGTAATGAAATAATAGAACAGAGAGGCCCAGGTTGTCGCTGTGGCAACCGTCGCCAATAAACGAGTAATATTTTAACGATTGTAAGGTTTGTAACTAGTCATATAAGAAAAAAAAAAGACTATTATAAAAATCTAGTTCTTAGATGTTTAGAGTAAAGATGTTATTTTCTACTGTATCCATTTCAAATAGTAACTATTGTTTTAATGTTTTTACTCTCCCTGGAAATTGGGCCATGTTGGAAAACAAGCTGCATATTTGATCACTTTTGGGGGCGTTGCTGGCGGGGTCAGGTGAACGTGGCGAGTAGGAAACCGAGTCTGAGCTCTCGTTTCTTACCCAGCCATCTGCAAACAACAAGGGTGGGGTGGGAAATCTTGAGGTGATAATGGTTGACTTTTTTGCACTTCTGTACATAGTCAAAAAAGAAAGAATCATGTATATTGAGATCTTATTTTGAATAAAAAAAATAATGTCTATCAAGACAAGGAATTTTGCTAGGATAACAAAAAAAAAAAATCTTATGAAAGGCTGAACAAAATTGCTTGCATCAAAAGGGCACCGAGTTCTCACTCTCCTACCCCTTTCAGAAAAGGCCAAGTGTTGCTCTTCTTTTTTGTCAGCAGCTTGTAGTTTGCCAGGTAACCTTCCGGAGGAGGCGTCCACTACCCTCCAGGGTAAGGGCCTGACTGGGTTTGTCTGGTCCCCCAACCCGCCTGTACTGCACAGGTGTGTGTCATGGCCACGCCCGCCCAGGCCCAACCAATCACAACACGTCCTGTCTCTTTACTGTACTCAGAGAGGAATGCATGTTAAAGGAAATACATATACAGTTTAAAAAAAGAAATCACAACACAGTAATATTGATTAAGAAAACATTTACACAGAAAGATGTATTTACAGTATACAATATTCTATCAATGTAATGGAATAAAATATATATTAAAAAAATATAAAAATAGAATAGTGGTTTATTTAAAAAAAAAAAGATTCCTGAGAATATACTCACTGAAGTTTCACCACTTGGAGAGTTAAAATACATGCAACACAAACACCATAGCTATAAGTATGTTCTTTATGTTTATGTAAGCTGTGCTTCTAGTAGATGAAACTGACCGAACCCGATCGTAGTTCAACATCAGGTCAGAATTTAAGAATAACTGCAGAATGATATACTGCTTCGTAGTTTGGTTATTAACCAGTTAGTTTGAAATTTTGTCCTGATCACCTTAGTCATCTCTCATCTTCTACAAGCACGCATGCTTACGTTTATGATATAATGTAAACTGAACTTTTTTTGGTTTGTCGTTTGTTTTCTCTGCTTGTAGTGCTAAGATGATGTATTCTGTCTTCTGCTGCAGTTTGTTTCTGCTTGTTTTACTGTTCCGGGCCCCCTGAAAGGATGCGTCATGTTTGCATACCAGCCACCTCATCTGGAAAGCGTGTGTAGAGAAAACTACTGATTGCAACAGTCTAAAGCCATAAAATCCAATCATCTGAATGAAATATGAGAAAAATTATAAAGAGGTGGGGTGTGGTATGTTCTGGATCTCACAGGATTGTGTTTGCCTTGGTTTTTATTAACTATAGCATCATGCAATAATTCCAGTCATGGAGGTAGTTAGTATAGCTTGTGGTGTGCTGTGCCAACACTGATGGATGTGTGGAGTTAAGAGAAAAAGTACGTGACCCATTTTATTCACGGGGCCTGCATTGCTATATTTGATTCTTGCTGTTATGAATAAAAAAAATGTAATAAAAATTTACAAATGAACTCAAGTAAAGGAGAATTTGTTTAAAATGTGTCGTTTCATTTGAGCTCAAGGTTGGGATGTTCTGGGTAATTTAAGGGAACACAAATTACAATACTAGAGCTCGTTTCTGTGCACAACAAGCAGCGAGCGGCTGTCCTGGCTGTGTGTAGCACAAGCGTTAAATGAAGCTTAATGCAACATATTCATCTTTGTTTTTGTATTAAAGGGGATGTCAAACTTATTTTACATTGTTGGCCACATACAGGCCACTTTGTCCTTTGTGAGCCACACCAGTGAAACCTCCCTTTCTGTCATTGTTAAGAAGTTTAACCGCACACTGAAACCCTCAGTTATATCTTCAAGAAAAAATAAGCACTATTTCAACAACATGTCTCTGTTTTTCTACAGTAAACGATAAAGAAATGCTTCTATAGTAAATAGAAGAAATCTGTTAGAATGACTCTTTGGGACTGAATTGTGAGTAGTAATAATTTTCACTTTAATTTTTTTTCTTTCTTTTTTGTTGAAACTAACTATAAAAAAAAACTGTTATTTAAATGTTGATCTATTGACATCAAATGACTTCAGTAGTCTAGCGTATTATGATTGATCCCAGGAGTTTTTAATCATTTAAAAAACTACAAAACTTACAAAAATACAGCTAAAAGTCTAAAATGTTTGTCTTTGTTCATATTTTCCAAAGCCTTCCAGTGGGCCCGATTTGAGTTTTTGGTGGGGCGATTGTGGCCCCCGAGCCACATGTTTGACATGCTGTATTAAGCAGAATATTCAGTGTTAAACAAGTGGCCTTTACATGTTTCACTGTAACACTTCATAATACTTAATTTTATTTGAAATTATTTATATTTACCCACAAATGCAAAATGTTGTTACACTAGAATTAGAGAACAACAAGTCTTTTTTTTCACTGGAAGCAAATAATAATACTCTAAGTAAATTTAAGTAATTTGTTATAATCTCAAGCATTGAATAGTTTTGGGGTGATTTTGCAGCAAAACAAAAGATATTTCCCCATTTTACATAACCTTGCCTAACAGGGATTTTTTCAGGAAAAACGACGTTTTTTGGCTCAATGGCGCCCTCTCTTAGAAGTCGTGGCTAAAAGTGGCAGCATTAAAACATTGCCTGATTCGAGAGAGGAGCGTGAGTGTGTTGTGTTTGAGGCATCTGTAATCTGCCAACCTGCCTGACAGGTAGGCCTACACATTCTGTTCGTATCCAAATAAAAGAGCAGTATTAAAAGGTAAACAAGTCTCTCTCTCACACACACACACACACACACACAGCGCAGTACAGTAAATTTAGTATCTGAAATGTGTAAATATTGTTTTACTGCAAAATTACCATAAAATTGCACACTACTTACACAGTACTTAAATTTACTTACAATATAATTATGTCGTTGTTTCCCGTGAAAACCTAGCTTGTTACCCTCTTATTCTCCCTTTATGAGGCTGTAGCATTTTATTTTCATTTACATTGTAATTGAAAATGAAATGCCTTGAAATTCTATTTCATTGCAGACAAATAAAATTTCTGCCTGCGACCTGTTTTTTTTTTTTTTTTAAAGACAAAGCTGTTTCCGCTCTCTCTGCCAAGCTAACGCTAATGAGCTGCAGGCTTCACCTTTTAGTTAATTTAAGCGCTTCTGTTTCAGCAGTCATAGCTGACTACAACCACACAAAGGATGATGTCAAGATACATGACAGCCACCACACAAAATCAGTAGGAATTTAATGCAGTATTGTAAACTCACATTACAAACATGATAGGTCTTTATCGTGTACAGTTAAAGATTTTTGTCTTCAAATAAGATACGTGTAATTTTTATGTACCCCCCCCCCTCCAGCCAGCAATTTGCTACATTTATACTGTAGCATTCATTAAAATCTTGTTTTATCTCTCTATATATGATGGATCAGTTTGTCCTGCCTGCCGAAATTTCTAATTAAGAGGAAAGATTTTAATTGAGATAGAGATGCAATAACCGATAGAATCTAAACGTGACTTGGCTGCAGTCTTTTAAAAAGCAAGCTATCTAATTAGAATGAGGAATTGTGTGATTTGTTGGCACAATACTTTAATTAAAGGAAGATTTTGTAAAGTTTTATGTCAGCATTTTAGTCCTTAAAATGACCCCAGAGTTCTCTAACACTGGTAACGTTTCCTTATCCCATATAATCCGAAAGGATCTTTAATCAGCCAAAACAGAAGATGTTGATGAGACAGTAAAGATCAAGTTGCCGCGGGATTACACCATCTTTGCTGTCAGCAAGTTGTATTTCCAGTGCTCAGGAGCCACAGGACAGACCACGTGCATGTTCACACTCAGCCGTCCTCTTTGTTTTTTGTTTTTTAATTACACACTCATAAAAATGTATAACTTCAAGTTTTCAGGAGCTTTTTGGTGTCGAGTTTTTTTTCCCTTCAGAGACCCAACACGTATGCTGGACCATTATGTTGATTCAAAAGTGCGATTCAAATAACACCCACCAGATGGCACCCTCTCTTTGTGAATTAAGGCTTCTGAACAGTTCTTTTTTTTAAATTAGTAATAAGTCTATATATAGACTGAAATGATTGCTTCTGACGCTGTCCCTTCCTTTGGCCATACCAATATCAAGTAAAGGAGTGCCTAATCTATTTTAGATGCCAGTCTTTTTTCTATTCAACAAAGCCTGAGCTATTATTAATAACCTATCTAAATATTTAATATGCCCACAACTAAAAGATAAGGTAATGTAGATATCATAAAGGATGGTTCTCTTAGTTGAATGGTTGTTCCTTGCTAGTTTCTTTTCAGTCACTTGGAGCTGGTTGCAACTCTTAGGCAGACCGCAAGGTGGTCATACTAATTTTCAATCTTATCTTTTAGTTAATAATTTTTATGGCATCCAAACAGATCTCCATTCATCCTCAAAAAAGTGCTGCCCGGTTCAATGTGCACTTTTGAAAGTTATGACAGTTTTTAGGTTCCATAACTTTCTGTTGATGCCATTTGCTCTGAATCTTGACTAAATCAAACAGAATGACAATGAGAGATGTCAGGGAAATTACATTATGATTAGACTGATAGAAAAATGTTGGGAAATCAACCTGTGGAACTTGTAAGATCTGGTGGGCTGCTGACCCAACGCATCAATTTCTGGGGAAATGTTGACAGCACTGAAAGGAAACTGTCAGGCGAGGGCAGATTATCTGCTTGAAACAAACAAGAAAATCATTAGAGAACATTTTGGATGGTTGAGGTTTCTTTACATTGTTTGTTTTCCACATTACCTC